AAAGTTCTAGCGCTTGACTTTTAGTTTATAAGATACTTAAGATTCGTTGCATGATGCTTGAATTATTCATCTTCAAAAAAACCCTAGAAAGTGAATACTTAGAGTCGCCAATTCCAATTCAATAAAAATCCGAATTGATAAATTTTATGTTTGAGAAAGTGCCCAAAGGATTGTAACTTCAAGATCAAAGATAAATCCTAAATATGGGATATTATTTACTTTAATTCATCAAATGTATGTTTTTTTTTATAATTTTAATGAAACTCATGCTCTAAATTAAATATAAGATGTGACTACATTAAGTGCAAATTATCTATCTACCTAAGACCTTTTGTTCTCCTTCAGGTAGTAATCTCATGACTTATAAACTTCACCCTAAGTCGATATCACTTTGATCCCAAGCTTAAGTTAATATGCCTTTTGATTTATCATCTAAGTACTCATTATAAAATAAGTTTTAATATTGACCAAAATCTCAAATATTTTAACAATCAATCTTGAAGTTGGTGGCTTCAAGTTGAAAGCCAATTATTGACTTTTAAATCAAACATCTTCAATAGTTTCCCTATCTTTTCTCTTCTTTTTTTTAATAAGTATCCTGAGATTTTACAAAATGACGAGTTAACCAAATTCTACAAGTTCATTCCAAGAGATGAGTTCATCAAGTTCATTTTGAGCAAGTGAGCTCCTTGAAACCATTCTAAGGGAAGGCTTCGTCAAAGTCAATTTGAAGCATGAGTTCCCCAAGTTCATTCTGAAGAACAACTTTGCTAATTCCACAGTTTTTTAAAAACTTTTTTTTAAGTGAAGTTATTGGTATGTAACTTCTTTATGTAATTGGCACATAGAAGCAATCAAACTCTATTCATTGAAAAAGCTCATGCATTTAAAAGAAAAATTTTTCTAGAGGGACTCTTACAATGTAAAAAGTTCTCAAATCACTGTGTCCCATAGTATCTCTTTGTTGATGTGTGTTTGTATTCGGTAACCACTAGTACTTATGTATGGTCCTTCTCTACGTTAACCTGAGTTCACTGAGTATCAATTGTCTAGTAGTTGCATCATTTTTTTTTTCAAAACAAGATTTCAAGAAAGAATTACTTCTCACAAATATTAGGATCATAAAAACTCGCAACTCCTAAAATGAGGTTTGAATTCTAAATTCTTTCAGTAAATCAAGGCAAATTTGAAGTCCTCACTCATTCAAATTCTTCAAATCATTGAATACACATTCTTCAAAAGTTAAGGCAGCCATAACTTTTTAAATATGGAGATTATATTCAATGGGTAGCAAAGCATATTATTGTGTGATAATGCAAATAATGTTCACCCAATCACTAAAGATTAGGGGTGTCAATTCGGGTCGACGGGTCGGGTTCCGATCGAACCCGACATGACTCGGGTGTAAACGGGTCAACCCGAACACGACCCGTTTAGCTAAGTGGGTCAGGAAATTAAACCCGGACCCGACCCGCACGGGTTCCCGGGTTGGCCCGACCCGACCCGATGACCCATTTGATTCAAAAACGGGGCTAGACGGCGAGTGTGAGGCGCCAGAGGCGGTGCCGGAGACGCTGGTTGCCTGGCTGCACAGAGGTCGCCGGTCGTTGGTCGATGCGGACTCGAGTAGCATGCCGGACGCAGGAACTGCCAGGCGCCAGCACGAGGCAGGGGCTGACAGGCTGAGGCGGTGCGACGCCAGTGCGAACAACGGCTACTAGTCCGGTGCGAACTGCGTGTGCGACTGCCGATTGCGACGAGGTGTTGACGTGGACGGCTGTCAGCTGGCCAGGCGACATGACTGACGTCCGATCCAATCGCTCGAGTTGAGACCCGAACCCTATTTCCCTCCCAGCCCCACGCGATAAAAATTAAAAATGAGCGGGTTATCGGGTAAATTTCGGGTTACAGGGTTGACCCAGACCCGACCCATTTTTTAAACGGGTCGAAAGTTTAGATCCGAACCCAACCCGTTTGTTAAACGAGTCGACCCTAACACGGATTTTTCGGGTTGGGTTCGGGTCGGGTCAATAATTGACACCCCTACTAAAGATGTTGCGGTTCATAAAACTAAAAAAACTTATGGCAAAATTTTTAGCCCATTTCCTTTTATGGTTTCAACTTTCTTACGCAAAAAACAGAAAAGTAACTTTTTCATTGCTTTCACTTGTCCATTACTGAGTGATGCACTTAATCCTAGCTTTAATCGAACGCCCTAGATTTGACAGTATTCTTCAATTTTCTTATATAAAATTTATGACCAGTTCTCAATAATTTATTACCATTGATAGACTATATCGACAAATTACATTGAACTAAATAAAGCTATAAAGAACTTCGCTAGTAGCTTTGTCATTGCATTTACTTTAATCCACTTTATGAAGTAATCAATGATCACCGGAATAAATTTCCTCTAGTTGTTAGGGTAAAACGACCAACTTCAACCATTCCCAATAAAGTGAAGCCCATAGACTAGAAATTAGATGCATCTTCTGGAAAGGTTGGAGTTGAATTAGAACAAATTTTTTTATATCGGATGCATTGCTTGGAGAATTATTCTGCATTATTCCTCAAGGTTGTCCAAAAATAGCCTTACCTCAATATTCTATTAATAAGAGTTTTTCACCTATATGACTTTCGCATTCTCCTTAAGCTAACATCCTAGGTAGTTGTAAATTGAGAGTATCAAAAAGATCCCTCTCTTAAACATTTAGCAAGTATGGCTTGCGTGATAATTAGTTCTAAATCTTTCACTTCTAAAATTCCTCGCTAAAAATTAACGATGAAATTCTTCATATTCCCTTAATTCTTGTCTCATTCTAAACAATACTTGAAAGTTATTCAAAGGCTTTTGAAAGCTTGAAAAATGAGTAACAAATTGCCTTTTGAATTCCGCAACGAAAGTTACACTTCCAATTGGGAGTCAGGAGAATCACACTAAGAGTGACACCCTGAATGTTATGAAGAACAATCAACGCTATAAATCATCATTAATGTTAAAAACGAACTCAGTAAACAAAATAAGCAAAATGGTCGGCTACATCTATTTTCTCAGTTTTATGAATCCAAGTGAGAAATTTTGAAGTTTTTTTAAGGTTGTGCCTCAATAATCACCATAGAAAATGCATTCTTCAACTGAAATTGATGCTTCTCATCCATTCAAGGTGGAGTTTCAACACAAATTTCACAAAGATAAGGCTCGCCAATTGTTAGGATTGATGTGAATGCTCTAAAACTCAGCGGATGTCAATGATGGCGAATGATAGTTTGAAGATTTATCCTCAAGAATTTTTATTTGCAGTGGTTTTTGGAATCCGCTTCATAAATCCTTGAATTATTCTCGTTAGCTTTTCCTTCAAATGACTTAATTGTCTACTAATGACATTTTTGGTTCTCCATGAAGATTGGTTTCTACCTATCACCCTACCTTTCTATTGCTTGACATAAAGTTCTAGCCATTGATCCACACTCATCACACCTTAAAAGATGTTGGATCTGAATTTTTTCATAGGTGACACCAATACCTTACTAATAAAAATGGATATAAAACCAAAAAGGAAATAAAAGAGAACATACAGTGAGAAGCTCTAAAAATTTACTTGATTGTCAAAAAGTACAGAACTTCTATGATTGATTAAATGCATCAGGCTCACTCTCTAACCCCCTATCTATAGATTCAAGTATACATTAAATGCAATAAAAAATTAAATTATATGGCAAGACTTAACAAATACTTGTTATAAAATGAATAAACTTAACTAACTTGTAACTTTCTAATTACATAAAGAATTCACGATTAAGTCTAAGGATGAATTTAGCTGAAGTCAATGTCGACTTCACTTGAAATTGATGAATTCTGATAATATCTCAAACAGCTTTACTTTAGACTAGCGAGTAGCTTTAAACTATGATGAGTTCATCTAGAGAGTTGGGCAAGTAGCCTTGGAACTTAGACGAGTCAAGAGAATAGTTTCAGTGACTTTGATTGATCACTGGACTGGGCCACGTATATGTTGGTTGAATATACAGAGAAAGTTATTGAATAGCCATGGCTGACTAGAATGCATAAGAGGATTTGCAATGGTACCTGGTGACTTCTATTTTATTTTGAATTATATCATTTCACTAGCCAATAGCTTTGAACCCGGTTCGTGAAGATCAGCAAGGCTTAATGAACTTGGCTTTGGATGGAGGGCACACACATCTATTCCTATGACATTCTCCTATTTCAAATGGTCCTCTTGTTGATTTCTCCAAGAACCATGAAATCAGGGATCTTCAACATTACATAATAAATTATCCAGAACTAGAATTATTTGAAAGCAGCATCAGAACATCACACAGGCTATTACAACAATCAAATAAGCTTCCGCATACAAGTTTCCAATTCCTCAAAAATTACATAAAAGAATTGACCATCTTGATCTAAACCTTGATAAAACAAATGATCAATTGTGTATACAAACACTAATAAAATATCAAAATGATGCAGAGTCAATTAAATAAAAATGTTGAATGTCTTGTTGAGTTTATCAAATAACAGATTAGTTTGCATTATAAACATGAAGAATAATGATGGAAGAATACTAACATTTGCATGCTCTGACCAATAAGGTTTGTAATGCCCAGCATGCAGAAGATAGTATTAGGTTGACCAAGAAAAGTTTATGATGGACCTAGCCATCTTGATTGGCAAGCACCTGCAAGTCAACCTAATTTTTCTTCAGTGCAATGTAATTCTTGGCCTATATCAAATCCTAGTATTAGACTAAGTCTTCTGTGGCTGTTTAACTATGGTCAACAAAAAGGTTTAAAGATTTGTTAAAACTTGTAGATTATACTTCATTTAAGATTATACTTCATTTAAGACATTAAAGCAAAAACATGACCACCGATCAAGCAAAGCATACAAAGACAATATGCAAAATCAGTCTCCCATTTCCTCGAACAAACTTATTCGAACTGTAAGCAATGACGAAGATTCTAGCTAGACACAAAGATAAGGGCATAAAAATGAGACATTCCAAGTAAAAGACTACAATCTGAAGCACTTGTTTTTACAGACTACTCATTCAACCTAGTAATCTGCACACTAATTTTGCTGTATTCTCCTCAGGAAACTCTAAAATTCTACCTAAAGTCGATAGATTTCTCAAATAGGTACAATGGAAATCCTAAATACATACGAAACAATACACCTCAAAACTCTCCTCACCAATGTGCATCTGCACCGATAATCGTAGTATGATTAAAACAAAGAGAGAGAAATAGGAGAATACATCCGGAGATCCTAGCATGAGCTGTAAGTCCCTGCTGATGGACCACAACCTGATGTGAAGCTGCTATGAACATAGTAACCCAATGTCGTACCTTGGCCAAGCTTATCAATCTTCGTAACAGAGATTTCACAAGTCAAGTTATTAAGAACAAGAAAATGAATCAGTAGTGCTTCCAAATGGAAAGAACAGTATGTAAAAACAAATAAGTCCTCGAAAGATTTGGAAAAAATGTATTTCAATGGCATAAGAACCTAAAAGGAGAAGCTTTACATGCAAAAAATTTTATGAAAGACTTAAACACTCTTCATTTTGATTGTTAAATATCTATTGTACAATTAATAATGATCTTTTGGTATAAACCGTTATGAGGTTGATGCTGATGTTGCTTTCTCTGGTGAAGGGAAATGATGGTACGATAAAAAATACAAAAATAAGTAGTAGTTGTTAGGGAATGAAAGGTAGGAGAGAAAATAATGTGATAATACTGAGGGAATGGGGTAAAGTAAGCAAATTTAATCAAAACAGACACTTCAAAAGACAACAATCACAAGAAAAGAAGGAAAATAACATAACTAACAAATTAAAGAGTGAAAGAAAAAGATATCATCAAATCAATAAAAAAAATTCCTATGAAAAGCTGAAAGAAAGGAAATAAACAATCTGCATGCCCACAAATACATGCATAAGTAACCAGCTTATGCATTTGTCCAACCTGCCAAAGAAAATCTTGGAAAGCAAGTTAGACACAATAATTAGCTAACAGAAGCCAAACAATATTCAAGTAGATGCAACATAAATATTACATAAAAAACCTGTCTCATCCATGCCATCAAAAGAATGCTAGTAGCCCCCATGCTGATGTCACCAAACAACAATCAGAGGTGAGGGTCAGAGGGCAAAATTTGAGGTTAAATAAAAAAAACAAAGCCAAACATATATTAGAAAAAGATGAAGGGGCATAAAAATGTAAACTAAAACAGCTTGTTCTAGACAAGAATAAATAACAAAAAACTGTCAGTTGATAAAAATTGACAAGCCAGAATAGAATAGAACAGCATCTGATCATAGATCGATGACTCCACAAGGCTAGTCATTCACATCCTACAGTAAATGAGTATGGTTAAGTAGCAGAAAATCAATTACATAAATATCATGAAAAATAATTAACTCATCAGCACCCAATCTCTGCAATCACCATAATAATAAACAAGTGAGTCCCAAAGTTGCAATTAGCTGAAGTCATAGCAAGAGGAAACAATTCAGGTTCACGTTAGCACCAAGACCCCAAGCCTGCCAAGATAAATGGTCAACGACAGAGTATTAAGTATATTGATTGAAGTTCAAATTGCAAAATGCAGAACTATTCATTTTGAAATCCAGCACCAGCTGACCTGGTAAAAATAAATAGTTAAATCAATCAGTAAAGCTTGCAAATAAAAGTTATTGAACGCATAACTGAAAAATATAATATACAATTTTACGAAATGAAGACTTGGTTTGGTAATATCCTGATGTGCTAGCTGTAGGAAATAGCCTTGTTACTATCGCAGAAATGGTTTGTTCTATAAGTACAGTGCCCAAGTTCCTAAAGCTATAAAAGAGATGTAGATGCAGTATAATGATTTCCTAAGCATGTGTTCCACACAATTCAAAATCATAATATCTTGTTTTTTAAAAGATAAGCAACTTTAAAGCATTCACAGACAATGAATAAAACTTCTGAGTAAATCAAGTACAAACATTAGGGCATACCTTGCATGATGACAACCACAGTAAAATAATTGCCATCACTTCATCCCAGACATGAAGTTTTCATACTCAGTATCCACACCATTAGTTGTGTATTGTTCTGCAGATGCAAGTTGAGAAGAAGCTGGATTTGTGGCCCAAGGAAAACTTGCCACAGTCGCAGGTTGAGAAGTTGACTGATTTGAGGCCGTACTTGAATCAGATTGAGGTGCACTTGGATTTGAGGCCCATGGCACATTTCCTACGCTCTGAGTATGGTCATAATTGAGAGGAGGTGCAGGAGGCACAGGATTAAAATAAGTTGGATAACCATATGAAGGTGTTGCATATGGTGGAGCGCTATATGGTGCACTGTATACTGGAGCAGACGCAGGTGGGGTAGCTGCAGTGGTACTCTGAGCTGGAACCCCGGTAAGAGAATTCAGGGTTGAATCACTAGAACCCGGAGGTGCAGGAGGCGCAGTGATCGGAGGCAGAGGAGGGTACTGCCCTACATAAGTAGGTATACTTTGTCCTGGAACTAGAGAATACATGCTTGAACCAGGTGGTGGTGGTGGCGGCGGCGGTGCATAAGGTGCATAAGGGTAGGGAAGTGGGGGTCCCCATGGAGCTGAAGTACCAACATAACTTCCTGGGGGAGGGGGCTGAGCATTTTCCACAGTTCCAGCAATATAAGGTTGCTGTGATGGATACCCACCACTTGTTCCATCATGAGTTGGATAAATGGATGCAGGTGGCGGAGGTGCAGGACCTGGCGGCACAGCAGGCTGAGGAGGCTTCCCAGCTACTCTCACAGCTATAGTCCTCCCATCCAAATGATATCCATGCATGCTTGCTATTGCCTGATTGGCCATTGACATATCTGCATACTTCACAAAACCATAACCTTTGCTAAGGCCGGTAATTCTATCCTTAATGACCTTAGCCATTACAATATCACCAAAAGAAGCAAATAATCTAATCAAGCCATCATCATCAAGGTTAGGTGGTAGGTAACCAATATACAAATTAGTCTCATCATACTCCTTCTTCGCCCCAGTGCTACCAAAAGCCCAAGGAGGATTTCCAGAATTTGAACCTTGAATAGACAATGTTGAGCTCTGCTTAGTTAAGGATTGAGGTGCAGAGCCACCGAGTTCGGCTAAGAAGTTTTGGTACTCATCATCCATTTTTTTTCCAGATCCTTTCATCGGGCAATCAATGGTCGGGTGACCTCCATCTCCGCAAATGCTGCAAAGAACATCACTCTTAAAAGTAGATGTGCGGGCAGGACAAGCATACTGTCTATGACCTTGCTCACCACACAGCCTACAAAACTCTTCTTCCTTGATTGTCCCATTGAGTGCGGCAAGTTCCCTAAGCTGCTGCCGCTTGTGTTCATTCAGGCCTTCATCAACAGGATGTAGGAGTTTCTCCACCATGCCCACAGCCTTATCAAGTGCCTCTTGAGTCTCAGCTTCAACAAATACATGAAGATCTTCATTCTCCGAAGGATCAGGCTTTATGTCTCTCTTCTGCTGTAGCCTTCCCTCCTTCACTGATCCCTTTCCTCTGATTACAATTTTTGCACCTGTTTCCTTCTCCATTCTCTTCTGAGTGTTTCCCCGAGGCCCAATGATGAGTCCAATGAAATTATAGCCCGGGTATTCCTTCATAGGGATATACAGCTTTTTATGAAGCTTGGGAGGCCGATAATCTGCAGGTGGTCGGAATGCCGGGTTCTTCTGAATCAGTTTTGAGATAATCTCCTGCCTCTCTTTCATCAGCTTTTCTCTTGCTCGATACTCCCTAGTGTTAATCCTGATGCCCATGTTATCATAGATTGGCTCCGGGGAGGGAGACCGAGCACATTCAGGCATTTCATCAAGCGGCAACACAGACTGGAGCTTGCGATTGATCTCAAGAAGTAGAATATTGAGCGTTTGTACCTCAGGGTCAAGGTCAGCAGTGAAGTCCTTCATGAAATCGGGGAGTTGGATTACAGGAAGAGGCTCGTCCTCAGCCCACCGAGACTTCCTCTTGCGACCAGTGCCAGATCCATCACCACCGTTCTGTTCGGAAGAATCCGTATCCCATCGGCTTCGCCGTCGTCGCCGACTGCTCGTCTCCTCTTCCCCCCCGGAGCAATCCCTGTCGGTTCCGCTGTAGGCCTTAGGAAGGTTGGTGGTATCTGTGAAAATAGGCTTCTCAGGGGCATCCGTCCTCTGTGGATCGTGCTTGATGCTAGAGTCTTCAAAAGTATGTAGGGTTTCGGATGAGGGTGGAAGAAGGGGGTAAGGATCTAGGGTTTCCGGTGGTGGGGAGATCTGGGAAACATTAGATTCCCCGGCTTGACCGTCAACTTGGGCAACTTGTTGCTGAGGGTGAGGCCGTGGACTGGAATCATACGATTCAAGTTTTTGAGAGGACTGCTCAAACGAAGGAGATAGGGTTTGCGCCTGGGAAGAGAAGGACAAAGCGGGAACCTCCATCGAACAGAGAGATCAGCGATCAGAGGACGAGCTAGCGTGTAAGGAGGAGTAAGAGATAGGGAGAGAGAAAGAGAGGGGGGCGGCGGAGGGAGACAGATTTGAGGATGGCAGAACCCAATATTCCAGAGAAGCTTATGGTTACGGCCTTACGAACGGGGCTTTAGCTCTGGAGAACTACGCGGCTAGACCCTTGAAAGTACAAATGATGAAATATGGACCTGGACGATTCTGACCGTCCGATCTGGAACGAGGGATAAGGATGGATTGTTAGCGAGAAACGTATTTGCGGTCAATGGTTTAAAGAAATTGAAACTTTTGTGAAATCATTATTAAACTCGAAATTGAGTTTAATAGATTTTGCTCCTCAAGATTTTTTTTGGCAGGAGAAGATTCTAAAATTTATTAGAATTTAATTATGATTTTTGTTACGTTATCATAAAATTATCTCGATCGGACACGAATCTCTATGCAAAAATCAATTCAGAAACTTCAAAAATTAAATCCGGAAGCATCCGAACTCCGATTTGAGCGAGCTTATAGTCAAACTGAGCGTCTCGGAAATACAAACCCAACGACACCAAATTCAACCCAATCCGAGACCAAATGAATCCAAATCAAGGACCCGAAGCACTGTTGGAAGGTTCAAACCACAATTTGAGTTACCAAACGGTCTCCGATTTTAACGAACTTATATCAAATCGAACGACTCGACGAGACAAATCCAACGAGCCCAAGTTTGCCAAATTCCGATATCACTAAGACCTTCAAATGTCTAATGAACGGTGCACGATCTAAGGGTTCAACATCAACCGTCCATTCGACCACTCCCTATTCGCACCTGACCTCACGCATATTTACAAGTCATGTCACTCCAGAAAAACTATAAATAGAGCCATCATTCTTCATAAGAGGGGGACCGGAGCAAGAATAGAAGAGGAGAAGAGAAGAAAGAAGATAAGTGAGAGAAGGAAGAAGCTCCTCCTCGACCATCGCCGGAACCTCGCCGGACCACCGCAGGAGCCTCGTCGGACCACTGCCGGAGCTTCGTCGGACCACCACATGAGGCCCTCAGCCTCATCGGAACGTCGCCGGAGCATCGTCGGACCACCGCCGGACCCTCGCCGGACCACCGCCTGAGGCCCTCACCTTCGCCAGAGGCCCTCACCTTCGCCATAGGCCATCACCTTCGCCTCAACACCACCTGAAGCCCAGACTTCTGCTGGGACACTACCTGACGCCTAGAGTTCTACCAGAGTACCGCCCTACTACAACGGTCTTTCAGACCGCGGTCTCCTGCCGACTACGGTCCTCCCGACCTCTATCGCCTAGTATGGTCACTCTAACCTCCATCACCAGACAACGGTCTTTCATACCCCGGTCTCCTACCGACTACGGTCCTCCCGACCTCCGTCGCCTACTATGGTCACTCCGACATCCATCACCAGACATCGGTCACTGAGACCCCGGTCTCCTACCGACTACGGTCCTCCCGACCTCTGTCGTCTACTATGGCCACTCTGACCTCCATCACCATACAACGGTCACTCAGACCCCGGTCTCCTGCCGACTACGATCCTCTCAACCTCTGTCGCCTACTATGGTCCTTCCGACCTCTATCACCAAACAACGGTCTTTCCGACCTCCATCCTATCGACTATGGTCGTGCTGATAAAACAAATACATCTATTGTAACTCTCACCATGTAATACACTCTATATGATATACATTTGTGACATCAAGCCAAGGCCTTCTCCCTAAGAAGGCCTCGTTTGTAATCGACTACAAATACTAGTGGATTCATTCAAACTGGGCTAGGCCCCGTGATTTTTCCCCCTTTTTAGGGGTTTTTCATGTAAAAACTCTGGTGTCTCTTATGAACGCTACACCCTCTCACTTATCTGATTGTGTGTTTGATCTTCGTACAATGCTAAGACGTTAAACTATATATTTCTCTACCGCCGCGAATACTCCAGGACGCAACAATCTTATTTTAATTTTTTTATCAAACACAATCATAATAAAAAATATTATTAATTTATTATAGCCTTTGAAAGAAAAAAAAAGCTATAAAACTTATTCTAATTAAATTTTTTTTATTATTTTGTAGCAAGCTCAATAATGATTCATCTCCAAGGATTATGAAAAAAGCTAATATAACATTCCTCATAAATATAAGAAAAATTAAATTGGTGATACTTAAAAGGTGAAAAATATGGAGGGTGCAAAGTATGCTCTAATTTTTCTTATTTTATAGAGTAAAAGTATAAGGATTGTTCACCTATGAGCACATTTAGAGTTATTTTAATATAAGATGATTCAAATGTATTGTGCACCCATTAATATATGTGCACGTACCCATTTTGCAAGTGTCTGGCATATTACATTCGGTTTGAGCGATAGGAGGACGCACTCCATTCTCAGAATAGCTCGTTCGAGGGACTTGCTCAGTAGCTAGAATGAGCTTAACACCAGAGCACGGCAGACAGGGAGTCGTCTCCCCTAGGCAATCGTCTCCCCCCGTGGAAGGTGATATTTGAACTTTCTCTCTTAGCTATACAAGTCTTTATCCATCAAAGCCAGACCAAGGCCTTCATGCTCGCTATGTCAATGTGCTATCAACATACATTCACCTTCTCTAGAATTTCCCACTCATATACGCCTGAAGACCACACTCAAAAGCTACTCGCCCTTCTAATTATGCAGGGTGACCTGGATACCTCCGCCATCTCCCATCAACGACAACTGAACGACACTCGCCCTTTTTTTTATCTCGGCATGGTGACTACTAACTATCATCCGACCTTATCTAACTCATCTCATTCAGTCACCGACCAGCTCAACATCAACTAGTTATTATTACAAGATGATTAGACAACTACATAATATGCATCACCCCTAGATCCTTTCGAACCGTATAAAAATGCGGGGAGGGAGGCTTAAAGAAACATCTTATTCTTCTAAAACTTTGTGAACTCTGAAGTACAGTGGAGGGAAAAGAAAGCTAAAAACCTATGACCATATCTTCAAAGCATTATATCACTTCTTTTATATAGATCGAGCTCTATAGTGCAGAGCTCCTACTTTTACCATTCTTTTATTTCTAACTTGGATAATAATGATTTTATCTAAATCCATATTACTCCCAAACAAATTTCCTCTTTTCTTTCCTTACACTCGAAGTTCATCACATTGTCCATATCGGCTCTCAACCTACATGTAGCATAAAGTATGGACTAACATCATCCACATAATAAAACATGATTCGACATCCTCAAAGGTGCGGTGAGTGTGGATTGATGTCGAAGGCAAGAAAATTATTACAACCATTCAGTATGAAGCCTCAAAGAGTACCATGAATCCAAGTATATAACTTGTTATGAATTGCAGGACATGGAAGAGTGCCTCTTGAAATCTAATCAAGACATTATTATCGTCACTAACCATTCACCGTGAGTATTTAGTGCACCTGAAGGACCGTCTAAGCCTGGTGCTTGCCAAGAGCCATCAGAGTAAGCTCACCCATTGAATCTAGTTGCCAATCCCACTCACCCTCTAACGAGAGACAAGAACTTCAATCCAACAGCCAGATCTTCTAAAGAAACTAAACTAGGGCAGACCAATGCCTTCTTCAGACCAACCTTTGAAGCAAGAGTACCTCCTTTGTTTAAGGTGCCTCAATTTAAAGCTTATCAAGGTAAAACTACGCCTGAAGATCATGTGGCAACTTTTGAGTACATAACTTCCCTCTTTGATATCGATGACACCCTTCAGTATCATATCTTTTTCACTACTATGAAAGATTTTGATGCTAAGGTGGGTCACTCGCCTACCCAGTGGGTAGATCACCACCTTCGAATTCAAGTTAATATTTATTTCATAATTCTTCAACGCCTAGAGACTTCTCAAAATTTCACAAGTCCTATTGAAAATGAGACAAGATCCAAACGAGTCGTTAAGAAACTTCATAATTTGATTCAAAAAAGAATGCCCAATGTCAAATACCTTGACCTAGTAGTCGCTCAAGAAGCACTAAGAGAAGGAAGGTCACTTTTGGTACACACTGGACATGTAGTAACTGAAATATTGGTAATATTGAAATTTCAATAGATAGTTGTGAAGCCAATTGAATGATGGAATGACACACCAAGATGGGGGTGAATTACAATTTAAAATCTTTTTAAAAATATTTTTAGTTGAATAACTAAAATTAAATTTTTAATGCAAAAGCAAAATACCATATCAAAATAATAATGCCAAATATAAACACTAATATTGTTGTATTTTTTATTTTGAAGAAAAACAAATAACAAATTTTATTTATTATTTATTTTTGAAACAAAAATCAATTCAATCAACCATAATGATTATCAAACTGAACTAGATTGCACTAAAATTAAATATACAAGAAAATAAATTGTAAAAAATAAATACACAAAATAAAAGAACGTAAACCAAATTTTTATAGTGGTTTGGTCGACTTGACCTATATCCACTCCCCAAAGCTCACCTCTTTGGATATTACACTAAACAAATAGTGACTCTCATTCACCCCTCACGACTAGGCGAAGAAGCTCTTACACAACCACTTTCACCAACTCGGTGCGACAAAATAGTCAGAATCCCTTTTACCTCCTCTGTGTGGCGAAGTACCCCAAGTTCACCTCTTTAGGTAATCCAAGTTGATCTTGAGTCACTTAGTGACTTTCCTACTTGGCTCTAAACATCCATAATTGACCTTAAGTTTGTCACCATTCTTAGCCCTAATTTTCTCACTCATATTATCTTAAGTGGACTAGTAACTACCTTTAAATTTAATTTATAAATTAAGCGAAAAAAAAAAGTGGACCAATAACAACCTCTAATGAGTGTCCCTGCATCTTCTAGCAAGACCCATACTTTTAGACTAAAGTCTTATCTTAGTTAGACCTAAAAGGTCTAGATCATAATCTATTATATTTATCTTGTATTGATTAAGTGGCCTTAGATGATTTTAAGTTTGCTTAGACATCAGGTTGTTAACTTTAGTTAGCATCCCTTTGAGATAATGATGCAATATTCCACACTAAGATGGAATGTCGACCTCATTAGATCCATTGATCTTATAATGTCATAGTCCATCCTTGGGTGGAGCATGCCTAATTCTTAGGGTCCCTTAAAGAGTTTTACTACTTCAC